AAATAATATATTTGGTTTGAAATAACTCCTACTAAAGCAGGATGAGATCTGACAAATTTTGGATCTATTTAGATAACTCTAAAGGGTTCTGTTCTGCTGAGCTTTGCTTCTCACGAGAATACGGAGAAAAGAGGCTCGTATGGTAAACTCATTAAAACACGATAAAGGATTTTAGTTGAACAGCCTCGATTTAAATTTAAATTAGCATAAGTGATGAAGCAGTAGTCAGATAAACCTGTTTTCGTACATGCGTCACGATGTTGTCATTATGAAAGCTAGGTAAAGGAGGATGGCGCAAAATTTTAAGGCCAATATGATTAATGGAAAACATGGCCTTTGCGTGTAGTCCGTCTTATAAATATTTGATTCTAAAATCGAGTTCTTAGTGGTTTAAGCTGATTATTGGGAGAGGATAACTATTTTAATATAAAACCTGCAGAGGTAAAAGTATTCTTCATTCGTATAAGCGATTCAAAAAGTTTTAGAGAAGTCAATACCCAATCAATGAAAAACGAAAGTATCCATGAGAAGTAATTCAAAATCTTAATTGAATGCGCGTGACCTCAATTTACCATTTGATCTTAACTCTAAAAAATATGTGTACTTTAATTCGAAACTTACAGAATAATTTTTAAAAAATTACAATAATAACCCAATCATATTTCGAATTAATATGTACGTCTTTATATAGATGAAGATTGTGAATCCATTCGTATAAGTGAACGGTCAACGAGATACTGAGGTTTGCAGGCCACCTGGTATGCATCAAATAAATTTATTTTGATATTATTACTGGATATAGTAGGCGTAGTTAGTATTCTAAGGGCATTTGGCCAATAAATACACAGAATGTACGAATGTAGGTAGAAAAGGAAAAAAAAATTAGTCTGATGACAACTCTTTTTTGGACTGATTGCTATGCCATATCAGAATTAGAGTGATATGAATAAAGTTAAAAATTTTAAAAGGGCAAGGCAGCGCCCAGTGTTTCCATTGTCTGTTATTACTGCCAGATGCTTGATTCATGCAGCAATTTAGCTTTGGTTTCAATTTATGTTGGCTCAAATACCACCCTTAAGTATTCGAAACTCTGGCTCAAATAATATGCGTCTGAGTGAGATTATAATAAAAAATTCAGAGTAAAATTATATAATGAGGGTTAAATAACACCAATATAATTGACTCTAGCTTCCCTGCAAATAATTGGCGCCCAACAATATGATCCTAGCTACTTGAATTAAAATCTCTTCGATGAAAAAATTCAATTCTATAAAAAGCTACGGCCATTCAAGCTGACTGTAATAGGATCTACAAGTGGTGAAGTAAGACGGTCATTCAAGCTGACTGTAATAGGATCTACAAGTGGTGAAGTAAGACTTGGAGCATAACACCAGATGCTGTCACTTGCTGAATCAAGGAAGGAACGAAAAATGAAGGAAAGAGATAACTTCGGCCTACTTGATCAGAATCTGACTTTCTTTGTAGCGTGCCATCAGCTCGCTGCGCGCGGCAAGCTGCTCATGATAGGCAGT